ATATATAATATATATATATATATATATATATATATATATATATATATATATATATATATATATATATATATATATATATATAATATATATATATATATATATATATATATATATATATATATATATATATATATATATATATATATATGCATATATATATATATATATATATATATATTATATATATATATATATATATATATATATATATATATATATATAACATCTATTCATATTTTTTTTCTAAACATTTATAGATCAGTGCATGGAAGCATATTATACATCGGCATGTACATGCATCTTTAGCAAGTTGCAATATATGAGTTTGAAACAATTGATTTAGGAAGCGAAATTATCGTGTTTAAATTCGGAAATACATTAACATGCGGAAGTTTCGCTGATTGGCTCTGTTTTTTTTTTTTTTTTTTTTTGCAGCTTTGTATTATGCGATTCAATCACAACGCACGCTGCTCGAAGTTTCTGTTGGGCAAGGCAAGTTTCCTGCGGAAGCCAAAACATTAGTTGGTTATGTGCGAATAAGGGAAGGGTGGAAAGTGAAAGAAAGTGGAAGCGGGGGAACCGGGGAAATATATATATATATATATATATATATATATATATATATATATATATATATATATATATATATATATATATAGATAGATAGATAGATAGATAGATAGATAGATAGATAGATAGATAGATAGATAGATAGATAGATAGATAGTTAGATAGATAGATGGATAAATAGATAGACAGATAGATATATAGATAGATAGATATAAATATAGATATAGATATAGATATAGATATATAACAAGAGACAGAGAGAGGGAGAGAGAAAGAAGAAAGCAAGAGAAAAAAACAAATTGCAAGGGGGTAGAAAGGAGAAAATGAGAATGGAAACGGAAAAAGAGTGGAAAATTATGTCAGAAGATTTGATGTTCATTACTGGAAGCCTTTGGCACTGATGGAACCGTATAATGGAATTATTCATATCAAATTTGTAGTTAAACTAGATTAAAGCTGACATTGAATCTATATAAATGTTTTTAGTATTGATAACTGAATTTTAACATTCAGACTCTCTCTCTCTACCTATCTATTTATCCATCTCCTCCTCCTCCTCCCCCCTCTCTCTGTCTTTATTTATTTATCTATGTATCTATCTTATCTATCTATCTATATCTATCTATCTCTATATCTATCTATCTATCTATCTATCTATCTATCTATCTATCTATCTATCTATCTATCTATCTATCTTATCTATCTATCTATCTATCTATCTATCTATCTATCTATCTATATCTATATAAATATATTATATATATATATTATATATATATATATATATATAATAATATATATGTATATATATTTATATTTATTTATAAATGTATGTAAAGATATATGAAAATATATATCTTTCTCTCTCTTTTCCCTTCCCCCTTCCCTCTCTTTTTATCTATCTATCTATTTTTCTTTCTCTCTTTCCCATTCTTTTTCTCTCTCTCTCTCTCTCTCACATCCCTCCCCTCTCTCTCGCTCTCTCTTTCTCTCACTTGTTCGCTCGTTCGACACAAAAGAAGGATAAGTATGAAAACGAGAGAAGATAAAGAGAAAGGGGGAAAGGGAGAAGGGAGAGAGGGGAGAAGGAGAGAGAGGAAGGGGAGGGGGGGGCACCTATTTTGCTCGGGCAGAACTCCAAATGGACCAATGATTTGCTTCCGATGCCGCAGACTTTGGCCGATCACTGAGGGTTATAGCGCGAGCGGCCACCAGCGAGTGGGGCGCCGGCGGTCGCTCTCGCTCGCTCTATCTCTCTTGCTCTCTTTAGTGAAACTGTTTTTTTTTGTTTGTTTGTTTGTTTCTTGTGAATGTCTTTCTTTTTCACTGAACCTCCGCTTTCTCTCTCTTCTCTAATTTACATTCTTCTCCTTCTATCCATTTTCTTACATCTCTCTCTCTCTTTCTCTCTCTCTCTCTCCTTTCTTATCGGTAGATCGATATATATGTGTACATATTTCTCTCTCTGCCTCACTCCCTTTCTCTTTCCGAAGAAAATAGAAAGTGATTACCGGCGGGCGAGTATTACAGCCTTCCTTTCTCGCGCCACCAAATATGTTCTCATTGGCCCGCCCTCCCCCCGTTCCGACGTGTTCTCAAGGCAAGCGGTTGGCGATTTTTACTTGTTTTCTCTCGTTTCGTCTTGACTGTGGTCTATTTCCTTTTGTTTTTTGTGTGTTATTTCGAGTGAATGTCGTGTCTCCTTTCTATATACATAACTATCTGGAATATTTTTAATATTATTTTTCTATCTATCAGTCTATCTATTTTTCAGTTCTTTATCTATCACTCGTTCTATATATATGTTCTGTGTGTCCGTGTGTGTATATACACTTGTCCTAATGTTCTGGTAACGCTTCAAAACAAAACTCGGGAACGAAAGTAACTGAAATCTGGGTGGCGAATTCCGTAGGCTTTCAGCTTAATTGCCATGCGGGCTTGCGATGGACATGATTAATTAGCGGTCGAACGCTCGCTTCCCAATAAATTACCTGTGTTCCACCTTGACCTCGCTAATTAAGTCTACGGTCTTCCCCTCGCCTGTAATTGGGAAGAATAATCGGCTGATCTCAAGGGGCATCAATATTACGAAATTTGCTGGACTTATTCAAGCCTTTCACTTCTTATTTTCCTTTATTATTTATCTTTTTTTTTTTTTTTTTGCTTTGGTTCTTTGTTCGCATTTCGGAAGACTGAATTTCAATTTGACAGATTAAGTAAAATCACCATAGATAGTGAAACAGGGAAAGGATTTCAAGGTAAAAAGAATCATTTTATTCCAAGTCTATAGTCAAGAAAACAACAATCACTTGATATTGCGACCAGAAATACATGACACATGGCAGTCAGAGACATATACGAAAGGAACAACAAAAGACATGCGATTGTTTGATTATTTAGAAATCCTAGACACATTACACAATCACACAACACACAGGCACATTACATGATCACAAAATCATAAAATATATATATGTATATATATATATATATATTATATTATATATACATATATATATATATATATATATATATATATATATATATATATATATATATATATATATATATATATATATATATGTGTGTGTGTGTGTGTGTGTGTGTGTGTGTGTGTGTGTATGTGTGTGTGTGTATGTGTGTGTGTGTGTGTGTGTGATGCATATGTGTGTGTGTGTGTGTCTATATATATATATATATATATATATATATATATAGCATATATATATATATATTATATATATTGTTAGCTCCAGACTCGTCAGGCAGGGTAAAACACAACGTGCTGCAACTCTTTATTCTATTTGTTCCAACCTGCAAAAGTTTCCATAATATAATTCACAGAAAGTACATAAATGTAATTGTTGAAATACAAAAGTATTGGTTAACTATTCATAAATCACAGTGAGGCACATGAATGTAACAGTTGAAATACAAAAAAGATAGGTTAGCAATGATCACCCAAAATAATTACATAATATCCTATACAAAGATAATACAATATAATTCAAAATAAACCTAAATGCTTTATAGCAATCCTGAACAATAACATATATGGAATTTCCAATCTCAACATTAAATCAATATTAATAATTTCCCTTTGAAGGTAGCATCTCACAACACTTATGTTAATATCATTTCACAGCCATAGAACATGTTAAACTAATTCCTGAAGTCTCATCATCAAAACTCAAAACCTAGAATATTTTTAAGAATTACAAAATTATATACTTACAACATTGTCGACACCACCAACTGCACCAAGACAAAGTCCAGAACTTCAATGCGGCACTGTCATGTCTCAGAAGGGCACATTTACTGTCCCTTTGTATTCACTCTCACTTGACTGCACAATTCCATGATGCTTATGTTTGTAATAATGATTCTACTCTAAAATATCAAAATCTTTGACAGCGGCCGCTTTCCATGTTCATTTGATTGTTGATTCCTCTCTTCTCTCCTCACCAACAAGCTCTTATAAAATATACTTAAATGTACATGATCTTGTAATTTATTTTAACAGTACATGGTTCCTCTCTCTTAAGTAATAAATCATTAGAAATTACAGTATTCCTCAATGTGCATAGCAAAAGTCGAAGATTGTTTATAATGGTTTATAAACATATAAAACGAATATTCCAGAAGATAATGTTGGAACTTCACATAAAACAGAAAATGTAATTAAACATAAGGGGAAACTAATTTACTCAATACGATTCAAGAATCGTGTTACATTCCCCCCGCCAAGAATTATTGATCTTCAACAGGTAAAATAAGTACTAATGTGTGGACTGATCTATTTACTCTTACATCTTGTTGACCCTCATAGTCTCCATTCTCTTTCTGTATTTTGTATCTAATTTCGACATCCCTGACTTTACCATCTGAACTGGGTATAATGCTACAAACTTCAGCTAATTTCCATGTCCCCTTTATCGTATTTTGATCTTGCACAATAACAACATCTCCTACTCTTAGGTTTCTTTTTTCACAATGCCATTTCTGTTGTATTATGAGAGTTGGAAAATAATGGATCATCCATTTCTTCCAAAACGATTTCACAATATCATTAATAAAATTCTGCCGTGACTTTGTACTAACATTATGTGTAAATATTCCTTCTGGTGCTTTAACACTTGCACGTCCTAAAATCAGATCATTTGGACAGAGGTATGAACCCTGAACTGCACTAGAGCCATTTTTCATACCTATTGGCCTTTCATTCAATATATTAGCAATTTCAAACATTACAGTTTGTAATTCCCCAAATGTTAGGGTAGCATTGCCAATTACTCTAGCGATAGTTTTCTTGACTAATTTTACTAGGGCTTCTGAGCAACCATTCTCCCATGGAGCATCTGCTGATTTTGTAAAGTTCCATTCCATTCCACCATTTAAACCAAATTGGGTTAGCTCTTTACTTGCTAATTTCAACTGAGTCCCACAATCAGAAATATTGACCTTGGGAAGCCTCTTAATGCTGTAAATCTGCGCAGTGTTGTTATAAAGCTATCTGCATCATAGCCTTCAATTAAATCAACATAAGAGGCTCTTGAACTAAGACAATTTATCATAACTCCATATACCTTCTTTTTACATCTCCCTTTGACGGTGTCCTTTATCAATAAAGGACCAAATAAATCTAATGCTGCATGATAAAAGGGAGGGGAAGGTTTCAATCTCTCCTTGGGTACAGGTCCCATGCTTTGTCCTATTATCTTCCTTTCTAATTTTCTACATGTCACACATTGACTTTTAATTCTCCTAATCAATCTCCTTGCTTGGGGTATCCAAAATTTATTTTGCAGTTTGCACAGGGTAGTCTCTATTCCGGCATGATCCCTATCATGAAATTCTTTAATACATAACTCAGTAAATTTATGTTTTGTAGGCAACAATATAAATGATTCATTATTATAGTTGTTTTTCATCCATATTGCAATTCTAGCACCTACATATAATGTATCATTCTTCATAAATGGACCTAAACGCTTAAATCTCCTTTTCCAGTTCAATAATAAAGGGGCTTGTATACGTTTAATCCAAATTGTCTCTGCAGCATTTAATTCCTCTATAGTTGGCAGGTCCTTTATAGCTTTGAAAGAGCACTGGCGAAAGGCATTAATTATTCTGGCAGTAACATAAATGAGTTTCCGATAGGACTGAAAACCTTCAATATCAAATAAAGTTGTCTCTGTGTCTAAACTATTAATCTCAATAGTATTACTAATGACGGTCTCTTCTGATTTTAGTGGTATAGATTTAACAGGCACTGTGAATAAGGCAACTTTAAAAAAGGTGGCCCTTTCTGCCATTTCGATTCAGAGCTAATGTCAATGGTAGGATCAGGTCGAGTCAATAAATCAGCTACATTACTGTCTGTAGGGATCCAATGCCATTCTTCATTACTGGTGGTTTCTTTAATTTCTGATATCCTATTAGCAACGTATGTACCAACAGAAATGTTAGGCTTCATAATTTGAGCAAGTATAATTTCAGAATCTGTAAGATGATACACTTTATGATACTGGATGCTGCTCTCCTTAATAATTGCGTTACGGAGACGGACACCCAGAACAGCACTAGAAAGTTCAAGTTTAGGTATAGTTTGCTGCTTTACAGGAGCGAGTCTACTCTTTGATGCAAGTAGTCTAGATTCATAATTTCCTCTATCAACTTGCCAACGAGCATAGGCACATGCAGAATAGGCTTGGGTACTAGCATCAGAAAATATTATTAAACTAGGTTCAATAAGAGAGGTATTTCTAATGCATCTTGGTATGCATAAGTTTTCCAATTGGAATATACTCTTAAAGAATATATACCATTTTTCCCTGAGATTTCTAGGCAATGGATCATCCCAGTCAAGTTTCTTTCCCATCTCATCCAAGTATACAATAACCTCTCTCATTAATAATTTTCCACATAATATGATAGGGGCAGCATATCCCATGGGATCAAAAATGGTAGCTATCTGGCTGAGAACTTGTCTTTTAGTTAATATCTCAGGGAATTCCTTATCAAGAGTCTCTAATCTAACCGTTACACAAGAAATCTTGGATTCCCTCTTCGGCATGAATCTCAAATTTGTTTTAAACCACATTTCATCTCTTTCAGGATTCCACATTATGCCGAGTACCTTTTCTCCTTCAGTATTCAAAAGATTAATGTCATTCTCAGTATGTGGATTCCCATTCATTACCCATTCTTAATATGGAAACTACCTTGTTTTAAAATATATTCAATATCATTCATGCATTCAATAGCATCATCAATGTTGTCTGCACTATGAATTATGTCATCCATGTAACTGTCACCTATAATAACATTCGCAGCCTCAGGAAATCTTTCTTTATATTTATATGCTGTTTGTCTCATGGCCAATACTGCAATAGCAGGACTACAAATGTCTCCAAATGGAACTGCTGTCAAAGCATAATGATCAGGAGGACGATCTTCTAAACCTCTCCATAAAAATCTGTGAACATGACAGTCAAATTCTGAAAGTCTTATACTATTAAACATCTTTGAAATATCTCCGATAAATGCAATAGGATTCTCTCTAAATCTAAGTAATAAACCAAAGAGGTTGTTTAATACATTAGGGCCCTTAGCCCAGTAGTGATTCAAAATATGTCCATTGTAAGAAGCAGAAGAATTGAACACAATACGTGTTGGTTGAAATGGAATCAGGTTTCAAGATTTCGTGATGCGAAACATAATGTACTGGGCCCGAATAATGCCTAATTTCATCTTTCGTTAATTTCTTTGCAACTCCTCTTTTCAGCATATCATCAATTTGTTCTTTATATGCTTTTGAAGACATTTCACCTAATTTTCTTAATCGTCTTTCAGTTCCCTTTAATCTCATTATTGTAGCTGCAAAGTTATTAGGGAGAAGATATGGATCCTTTATCCAAGGATAGTGTGCTACCCAAACCTTCTCCCTTTCTTGATGATTAAGACCCTTGAGTATTAATTTCATTTCTTCTTCCTCCTTTATAGTAATGTCCAATTCTCTACTACATTTGTTACAATTACTACAGTTATCACACTGAAGTTTACAATTAGTCCCTAAATGATCCACTGTGAAAAAATTATCCAAATTCCTTTAAAGTTTTCCAAGGTTCTCCATGTAGTGCATCTAATTCTCGGTTAATCTGTATATGATTTATCTTTGCACTATAATATCTAGTATTATTATCCTTGAAGTTCTGATGTGAACCTCTGATGCAGTAACCAAAAGGTCCTTTCATAAGTTGTAATTTCCCTACCGTTTTCACAACACTTGGGATCATGTCACAATTATCCGCACCTATTAATAAGTCTACTTTCCCTTGAGGTCTTAATATGTCAGTATTTGTGGAGACATCGAATATATAGTGTATTTCACTTATGTCTACTGGTTTCACTTCAGAAGTAATATCGTCAATCCCTACACAATGTACTGACCTTATCTTCCCTGTGACATCTATGAGAGGGACTTCATAAAGTTTGGTAGAAACAGTATCACAAACATTCCTACTGTCACCATGGTAATGTATAAGGAATCCCACACAAACCAAGTTCTCGAGCTTTACTGTGTGTAATCAAACTATTAGTGCTTCCAGGGTCAAACAGAGTAACAATTTCCCTGTCTTTGCAGTGAACTTGTCCAATCATTAATAAAATAGAATTCTCTGATTTGTTGATATTGATATTCACTTCATTTGGATTGATTTGTGAAAACAGGTAGTGTAATTTAGGATGATGTGGTTTACCGCAAACATTACCATGTTTCATTTTGATAAAACATGTTCTCCTTTCATGGCAATTTTTCTGACTGTGCCCTTTACCCAAACAATGAAAGCATATAAAGTTTTTCTTCAACACATCCATCTTAACTGTAGGTTCCAAGTTATGGAATACGGAACATTTATGGATCGAATGATTATCTGAATTATGGTACCAACAATAAATACTATTACCCAAAGGAAATCTAGATTGTGTTACTTTGGGATTCCCTGTTATAAACTGAGTCATCCTTTGCAAAATATTTTCTATATTTGCCTGGTGTTCGGTTTGTTGAATTTGCAATTTTTGTAAGGCACTAATAAAAGGGTCATCCCTCTCACTTACTTCTACATTATGTACACTTGCTTTTTGGTTGACTAAATTTGCGTACATCTTTGTCCATATAATCCAGTATTTGTCTTTCTTTCAACAAGAATTCCATAAGGTTTGGGAAGGCACTTGATTTGTCCGTCAAGTCTTGATAAATTCTTGTCCAATCCCGCCTTTGTTGTGAAGGCAATATTTTCTCAATCAAACTTATTACAATCACAGTAGACATTTGTTCCTTTAATTGATTTCTCTGCATGTCTGTCCAACAATTTTCAATCACATTTACTGCATCAATAAATTTAATAGTGTCACCTTCAGGGATTGGTTTTAGTTTTCTTAGCTGTTCAATTATGCAATCCGTTAGTCTAATCGGATCAGCATATCTCTGATCAAGACGATAAAACATTTTATCAAAATCATCCTCCACCCCATGAACAACACTTAATGCTTCTCCTGACAAACACTGAAATAATGCATAGGCATTCTTCCCATAAGTTTCCGTCATAATCTTTCTATAGTTGCTACGAAAAGTTTGATATTGTCGGATATCTCCATCAAATTTTGGAGGATCCAATGGCTTTACTTTAATCTTTAACTTCTCAGTTGCACATTCCTCTTCCACTTTCTTTCGGCTAGCCATTAGCTGAGCATATGCTTCATTTTTTATTATTTCAGCCTGTTCTATATAGAGTTCCTCTTCCTCTAGCTTCTTATCAAAATTTTCTTCTACACTTTGGCACATATTTTCAGTTACTTTTCCATGTAATATTTCTAACTCACTGAAAGCTTTCTGAACCTCCATATAGTACGACTCAATTTGGTCCCATGATGAATTTTCACTTACTTGTTCTCGTAATAATTTGCATTTCCTACTTAACTTCCCTTTCGCTGTTCCTCTCAGACGGCGTAGAGATTCCAGTTCTGTAGGTTTCGACATCTTGGCCAACTGTTGTTGGAATGTTAGCTCCAGACTCGTCAGGCAGGGTAAACACAACGTGCTGCAACTCTTTATTCTATTTGTTCCAACCTGCAAAAGTTTCCATAATATAGTTCACAGAAAGTACATAAATGTAATTGTTGAAATACAAAAGTATTGGTTAACTATTCATAAATCACAGTGAGGCACATGAATGTAACAGTTGAAATACAAAAAAGATAGGTTAGCAATGATCACCCAAAATAATTACATAATATCCTATACAAAGATAATACAATATAATTCAAAATAAACCTAAATGCTTTATAGCAATCCTGAACAATAACATATATGGAATTTCCAATCTCAACATTAAATCAATATTAATAATTTCCCTTTGAAGGTAGCATC